GTCATGCCGAGCGAAAAAGCCCCTGACGTCACCTGCAGCCAATCAACGCGCACGGCTCCGGGGCAGGTGACGTCAGCCGGAGCCCGGGCTTCGGGTGCTGATTAGAGGCGGCGGCCGCCAGAGCCAGGGGCGGGCGAGGTAGGGTAGGGGGGAGCCGGGCTCAGCGCCGCCGCCCTGCGCCCTCGGCCCTCAGCCCTCAGCCCTCAGCCCTCACCGGCTCTTAAAGGGGCCGCAAGGCGTTGGGACGTGCCTGAAGCCCGCCTCCGGGAAGCCCTCCCAGCCCCAGCGCTCGGCCCCACAAAGGGACTCCCCCCTCAGCTTCGCTGCACACACACCCGCAGAGGGTCCGCCTGACCCGGCCCCGAGCGCGAAGGTCCTCTCCCCGCCGGCCTGGCCGGAGTTGGCCTCCCCTCTTGCGCCCCACAGCCTTTGTTCGTGCGGGGCCTGCCTCCGGGAGAGCCTTCGCTAGCCGGGGGCCCGGCGCGAGCGCGCACCGCGAGCCCGGCTCTGCGCCGCGCTTTACCTGCGGCATCTGCGCTTACCCTCTCCACGACCCCTGGAGGTGGGAGCCTGGGTCTGCACTTTACTTGGAAGGAAATTAAAAGCTCAGAGGAGAGATGGTTTGCCTCAGGTCGCACATCTCAGGAAGTCTGGAGGAGGGAGTCCCCTGTGCAGTGGTGTCCCCCAGCCCCACCCATGACCCCCAGCCTTTGTCGCGTCCAGTGAAAAGCCGCCCCTAAGCAGCGCTCAAGGTGACCCATCCTGATCATGCGACCCCTAACCCCATAAAGGCAGTTGAGGGACCGCCCCCAGCTGGCCGCTGTTGAAACACAACCATTTGGCTGCTTGGATGCTGGCTGTCCAGCGCGGGAGCAAACATAGGTAATTACACCTTGGGCAAGCGTCCGGTGGAAGCACACTGGAGCGGGTGAACGTCCCAGAGGCCACCCCAGGATGGGACATGCAAGCCGTGACTGGAAGCCAAGGCAGCGCCCTGGTGCAGAAGGGACCACCCTGGGCAGGACAGGTCTTGTCCCTCCACCAGGAGGTCAGGGTGCTGGAGTCACTAAGGGGGAGCCGGGAGAGGTGTGACAGGGCACTCTGTCTGGGGTCCACCCTCACGGCAGGTGTTTACTGAGAACCTGTGCCGGGCACTGGGGACTTAACTCTGAGAAAGGAAACAAAGACCCTTGCCGAGGGAGCCAAGGAGCCCTGAGAGCCTTTGAAGGTAATTATTTTGGGGGGAGGTGTGACCAGACAGCCTAGACATTCCTAAAACCACTCCTCCCACCCCGGGCTGCCTGGTGGAGAGTGAGGGCCGTTTCTCCTCCAGCCTGGAGCCCCCAGCCATCACAGGGCTCCCAGGGCCAACCTGGGCTCTGAGGGAGGCTTTGGCCCCCAGGAAGTGCAGCCCCTTCCCATGTAGGGTGGGATCTGGGAGGCCATAGCAGTTTGAATGAAGGATCCTATTGCAGGGGGCTGTGTCCTGTACCCTCCTGGGCTAGGTGGGCACTCAGGACCCCAGAACTCAGAGTTGTAGTGGGAGAGGGCAGCAGGCAGCAGGTGGATGCTAGGCAGGGCTCCGGAGGGCCCTCTGACTTCCCGTGCTTGGTTCTCCTGACCTCCTGCCCAAGAACTTTGCACGCAGTAGGTGCTTACTAAGTGCTTGGCCCACTCCCTTGCTAGCTTGAGGAGTGCCCAAGTAGTTGTATCTGGTGTGTGTGTGTGTGTGTGTGTCTTGCAGGGGGAAGAGTGTGTTCCTGGCTCAGAGCCAGCACCTAGGATAACAAATATTACTGGGGTGGAGGAGGGTGGGGAGTGGGGCTGTCCTGGAAGAAAGCACTGGTAACCTAGGGGTTATTTGTGTCAGGCTGGGTTCAGGTCCTTCCTCTTTCCTACCCCAGGCTGGGCCTCAAAGGAGGAAAGGCCTGCTGAGGAGAGAGGCCCTGGATAGAGGTGGTCCCTGAGCTCGGGGAGATGCCCAGCCCTGATACATGGCCAGGTCAGGTCAGCGATGGAGTGTGCGGTGTGGTGGGGCTCACTCCATGTCTGAAAAGTGGGGAGGCTGGGTCCTGGGAGGGTGAGGAGGATTCAGGTGGAGCCTCGCTGCGGTCCTGGTGGCGGGAGCAGGTACTTGAGGCCCTTGGGGAAGCAAGGACAGACCCCCAAAGGGCCTGGGACCCATAGGAGTGGGAGGATGCAGGCACTGTCCCCTGGGCTGGGAGGATGCTCAGCTCAGTTTGCCCCCCTGCCAGGCCCAGGATGAGCCCAGTAGAGAGAAGGAAGACAGACCGCCCAAGTGGGCTCTTCTGCTCAGCCTAGATGTGGTCAGTGCCTGCATGTGGCCCCCCGGGCAACTCCCAGCTCCAGGCCTGAGCAGGGACAGTAAGCTGAGAGGAGGGGTTGGTGTCCTTGTGCCTCTTCTGGGAGAGTGGGGGTGGCATGCAGTACGCCCCACCCCCCGCCCCACTGTGTCTGGGCAGCGGAATTTGGGCCATGATTATTTTATTCCTCTGAGAGTCACTTCTCCTGCAAATAAGCATTTAAAGCCTGGGGTTCTGCAAGGATGGGGCGGAGGGGGGCGTGGTACCTCCTCTGGAGAGGACAGTGACTGCCAAGGTGACCAAC